AAAATACTGCTAAATTAAGCAAATCTATAGGATAATAAGAATGACAAAGTGTTAAGCATAACATTCACGCTCATGTGAAGGGAATGTAACCATGCAACAGATTGGTTTGCCAACTAAGGTCTCCAAGATAGAATCAAAAAATAGTTCAAGCAAGGAGAACTAACTGGGAAGTTAGGAATGGAGGCCTGTAAACAACTCTCATATTGGGTCAATGAATCATCATTGGGGAGAAAATAATGTAGTGCGTCATATTGGCTTTTAAAATCAAACATTCTCATCTAGAAGAATAGCATATGTTATTGAATTACTTGAAACTGCTACCTTCCAAATATTAGCACTTTTTATGCCATCTATTGCTTATTTAACAATTCTATAATGACACGATATTGCTGGGAATCTCCTATATAGAGAGTCAGAGACAAACTGGGGCATTGTGATATCCTAAAAGGCATTTAAAGAAATTCTAGTGGACACTATTAACATCTTCTCAAACTCAAGGTCATGACTGACACTAAGTTGAGTTTGTAGGCAAGTCCAAAAACTGTCGAGAGGATGATCTTAGGTGAAAATATTGCAAGTTGCTTGAGGACAAAATAGGTGTAAATTAAGCAGTGCCATTTCATAGTTGTAGTTTGAAATGACAATTAACTTGAAACTACATTGTGGAAGCAAGGATATAGTAGTCATAACACGAAATAAGAGTATTTAGAAGCAGAATTGGTAAACAAAAAAATGGAAAGAACATTTGTAGAGAAGCATTGGGAACTGGTCAAACAAGGCGAAGATTGGTCTAAAAATACTTCAACCAATTAAAAAGGAAAACCTAGGACCTATTGGACAAGGGCAGGAATTGGTAAAGTACACGAACCAGCATTCCGAACTGATAGATGTCTCAAGCAAAATGTTGGAGGAATTGCTTTTCAATGGGACTATTATATATACAAGGCAACTACTGCTTCACTAAAACTCCAAGTCTTTGATGCAGAGAAGAACTACATACATAGCTGCCTTAACATAATACCTTACCAGATTCCTTGCATCATGCCAGCTGGCAATAGATAAGTTGCCCATATCATTAATGTCGCAAAATTTGTTGTAATAGGTAGCTGTTTGAAGGATGACTGTGATGGTCCATAAAACAAAATTTGTCCTGACGAGTTTCACAAAGCCACTCACACAGGATAGAAACCACGAGTTCGACTCAAAGTCGAATGGAACTTGTTTTAACACAGCTATAATCTAAAAATGAAAAAGGCAGAAACAATGAAAGGATATAAATTTTTTTCAAAGCTTTTCTGTCTAAAAGCAACAAAGAAAATGTCCTAGGTTAAGGATATCTATTAATGTAAATAATCTATAGTAACTACATAATCATACAGTTACAGAATTAATCACAGAAATTATAAAATACAATGAAAATTACAGAATTATGACATACAATTTCAACAATTTTGACAAAATATAGGCATACTATTAACTTATCAAGAAATCGTCCAAAAAACTTAAAAGATTTCCCAATTAATCTATGATTATTCTTGATTCTTACCAGACGATACCATAAGCCCCACAACCCACAGGCCTGATAGGAACATACTTTCTCGAAACTTCAAAGAGGTTCCCATATACATTATACTGCATATATCTTCCACCATGAGTGGAAACACCTTTGATATTATGTCCACCATGATCTCCTGAACCAGAGCTTGATTCCACAGACGTACCCAAAAGACATCCCAAAATTAAATGTCAAACTTCACAATTACTTTGTCAATTCAAGATCAATTGAACTTAAATGGTGTAAAATCAACAACTAACCTGGTAATGAAGGAGAGCAGTAGACGAATTCACAAAAGGCAGTCAATTGGTTCCACAGTTTTCACTCGATTCTAGACGACAAATTGTAGGATTCCAATGGTGAAACTGGATGCATCTGGTTGAGAGGAGTTGAATGGTGGTGCTCCGACTTCGAAACAGCGGCCGACGGCGATGGTAATATGGAAAAACCGTTGATAGTCACGCGGTTTTTTCCATAAATTGGGGGCGATTTTTGCAACTAAGTGGCATGGACGAGTATAAAGAGTAGAAGAGAGAGTTTATGGGGTTCGAACGGGAATGGATTGAGATAGGTTCAGGCGAGGCTGCTTGTAGTTTGTTGAGGAAGAAGAAGATGCTTTTCTTTCAACTTGTTTCTCGTGTTTTCAACTTTTTCATGTTTTCAATAGAAAATGCCCAAAACGACTTTTTCACAGTTTTCTATTTTCTTCAGTATTTTTTTTGGTGTTTTCGAAAATAC